GACAATTATTGACAAAGATAAAAAAACGATGTACAAAATGTCGACAAATGAATACTAAACCGTTAAAGGTGTTCATGGGAAATCCACCAGTGGAAAGACTGGCACGTAGTGATCCATTTGAAAATATTGGCGTAGATGCATTTGAACTAAAGACAACACCGAAAACTACCGGATTGATTTTTACCTGTTGTGTGACCAGAGCAGTACATTTCGAAGTACTCGAGAAAATCACGTCCGAAGGAATATGCGACGCATTCATGATCTTTGCAGCATTACATCGAACGCCGACAATTGTGTATTCTGATCAAGGAACAAATCTAAAACGTTTTGGAAAGATGCTAAACGAGGCTTTTAAATTACTGAAAACGGAATTCCAATGGCGATTTAATACACCTGCAGCACCTTTTCGCGGTGGGTTTTATGAAGCATTAATCAAATCCATGAAACGCGGGTTCCGTAGCATTGTATGGCAGAAGGAACCTAAAGCAAGTGACATGCGATTAGTATTGTATCGGATACAATCAATGATGAATAGTCGACCACTTATGCAGACTGAATCACATATATTGACGCCGAATCATTTGATTTACGGAAATAATAAACGTTCTCCAATGATACCTCCAAGAAGAGGAATGGCGGATTGCTCATTGGTCAAGTATTGGCGACGGACCGAAAGAATGATAAATTCAGCATGGAAAACTTATCGAGATGTCTATCTAAAGGAATTGCGACTATATCACCAAAATAATAAACATTACGAATACGTGAACGTGGGCGATCAAGTATTATTAGTCGACGAAAATACACCAATTGGTTCCTGGCGTGCTGGTCGAGTAATAGAAAGAATCTCAAACAAAGATGGCGTTTACCGGACGTACAAAATCCAAGTTGATGGTCGAGTGATTGAACGGCCGGCGCAGAAGATCGCGCTTCTCGAAGAAGAGGGGAGGAATGTTGCCGATACAATGAACCTGACTAACTAAACTGGTATCGACATCTACAGGACGTTTGATGATCGTCAGCTGATGTGATGAATATAAAAGCAGAGTAAAATCAACATAGCTTTGTTGTTCTGCCGCTTGTTTTATGTGAATCATCTTGTATTATTTTTATTATGTTTGATTTTCATAATTTATCTCAATAAATAAACTATTTCATATTGTTCAATGAGTGTTCGTACCATTAACGTTATCAGCACCAGCGGATGAAGAAGTACGGAATAACGACGAGATCACGAGCAAAAAATAGTAAAGCGACGACGACTGACGTAGAGACGACGACGACGGACGTAGAGACGACGACGGACGAACAGACGACGACGGACGAACAGACGACGACGGACGCAAAGACGACGACGGACGCAAAGACGACGACGGACGCAAAGACGACGACGGACACGATGATGAACGAAACAGGGAGTTCCACGACGATAATCGGGGTTAAACAACAGACGAACACACTTATAAGGCGCATTCAGTTGGCAGAATTTAATTTGTTTCGACGGCAGTTACCGATGAAAATCGACGAGATCGATGATTTGTACGAAGAATACAGCGACGCAGTGGCGCAAAGTCTTAACGACGACGAAAACGATGAAGAAATCGATAGGTTAATGATGCAAAAAGAAGTAGTCGATCGGATGTTCGCATATATGAGGACAATACAGATGATTCAGAAGCACATTACGGAGTACGAAGCGGGAAGATCAATAGTTGCTAACGTGGACGATATAAAAGAAGGAATTAAACACATCAAGTCGATACAAAAGCAATTTCCCCAGATCGAAGGTCGACAACGTGATCTAATCAATAAATGGGCGACAATAGAAGTAGCGATGAATCAAAATGTAAGTGAAGTATTGACATCAGTTCCACGACAAGAACAATACAATGGTAGAAGTACGCCGATAGTCGAATCAATACAAGGTGCAGATGAAAACGAGACAGTGATGAATCCGCAACCAACAATATGGCCGAATTATACACGCTGGAATCCACGACCGGGCGCTGTAAGAGTACAAGCAAAACAAATTCAAAAATTCTCCGGCGATCCAATCGATTATCATAAATTTCGTGAAGATATTGAACATTACATAATCAACAATCCTGAAATTGACGGCGCAAAGAATAAACTGAAAGAAATCCAAGATCTGTTGCCAACAAAACATCGTTACTTGTTAAATCGCATCGATCGTAGCAATATCAAAATGGACGAAATCAAAAAGGTATTAGATCAGCATTATGGTGGGCGCCATCAAATAATTCCCGCATTGACGAGAAAAATTCAAAGTGCTCCGTATATATCGGCTCGCCCACAATTAAAAGATTACGAAGCAATGTTAGAAGTAGTGATATCCATCGTCGACACGTTAAATCTAACGAATTTGATGTCCGAAGACTATCATCTGTCTACCTATGTCATGTCGAAAATTGACGAAATTCACCATCAACATATTGGAGATGACTACGAATTAAGTCTTGATCATATCGAAAAATTTCTACGACGAGGGTTGAACAGGAAACAAGCACTGACTGCACGAATGAATACAAATCCATATATCGTAAGGGAGCGACAACGAATAATCAACGGTCGGCAGCCAATTAATGTGATGATGACCACCAATCCAAACAGATGCTTCTTCCAAGACGGTGATCACACGACAGACGAATGTCAACTAACAATGGATCAACGTAGACAATTTATCATATCAAACCGATTGTGCTTCAGATGCGGACAAGAAGGTCACAACAGTCGAGAATGTACAACAACAAATAGATGTCGTATATGTGGGCGAAATCATGTTCCATATTTGTGCTACCAACGAACAACCATACATCGACATATCGAAACTGATAGACCAATCAATAATCAGTTAATAAATTCGGCAGCAGCTGAACCAGTGGCAACGAATAGTCAACCATCGTTGCTAACACAGTCCGGACGAAGTATGCACAAAACCCTGGTTACCGAAATAAACGGGGAAACAGTGCGGGTAGTATTCGACGAAGGAGCAAGTTCATCATTCGTATCATCAAGATTAGCTGAAAAATGGAATGCCGAAATAATTCGTGCAGAACCAATATTCATGGATACATTGAGTAATACTGGACCAACGACGACAGGACATTTGATGATAAAAGTAAAAATGCCGACATGGGATGGGCGTCATAAAGAATTAGGATTCCGAATAAACGATAAAATCGACAAGTTAAATTTCGACTGCATCAATGCCGATCAACAAGAGTATATTCGACGATTAAAAATAGATTTCAAAGACGAACAACGGGTGGTCGAGATGTTAATTGGTTTGGACAATATAAATCAAATACAACTGGCGGAAGAACGACGATTATCGAAAGACGTAATGGCGAAACGCACAACATTGGGATGGGTGGTATATGGCGTATCGAAGATCACAAACGTGCTGCTCAATTTGAATCAATCATCGATGATAGAATCAGCATTAGACGTAGACGTTGAAACCGAAGATAAAGTAGCTATGGAAAAATTTATCGATGATTATTGCAACAACAATAATGTAAAATATAATTCGACAACGAAAAGATACGAAGTGAAATTACCGTTCATTCCCAACGTAGAAGTGGAATCAAATTTCGAAGAAGCTAAAAGACAAGTGATGGGAATGGTAAAAAACATGAAAGTCGACAGACGAAAACAGTATCAAGATTTAATCAACGACCTGAACAGAGACGAGATTATATCGACCACCGAAATCGTGCCAAAAATTGGATATCATATGCCACATTTCGTCATCACCAGAAACGACAAAAATACGACTAAAATGCGAATGGTATTTAATGCATCGAACGGTACTAGACCATTGAACAAAGCGATTTTTAAGGGAATAACATCGTGGCATATTATACGGTCGTTACTATTCTTTCGTTTACAGACGGTAGCTGTAATAAGTGACATCAAATCAGCGTTTCACAACATCGTCATACAAGAAGAACATCGAAAATTTGTAAAATTTCTATGGGTAAATCAAGACGAACAGTTAATTTGTTATCAATTCAATCGTCTACCATTTGGCCTATCGTCTAGTCCATTTATATTATATGCCGTTATTCAACATCATCTAAAGAAGTATCAGAATCAGTATCCACAGACCGTGCAAGCAATCAAAAACGGTTTATACGTCGACGACCTAGTACTATCGGCGCAAACAACGAAAGACGTCCAATTACTTAAAGATCAGAGTCAGGAGATTTTCCGTGAAGCATCAATGGAAATCCGGAAATGGCGATCATCAGATGCGACGTTAAATAAATTATGGTCCGACGGATTAGCAGAACATAAAGTACTTGGAATCGAGTGGTCGGAAAGTGATAACATGAAAGTATTGATGCCAGAATGGGACAACAAAAAGAACATAACCAAACGATCATTATTGCAGTACCACGCGTCAATATACGACCCATTCGGATTTGTGTTAGCATCGACATTAAAATTAAAATTGCTGATCCATAAAGTCTGGACGAAGAAATATGATTGGGATGACGAATTAGATGAATCATTACGAATCGAGGTACGAAAAACCATGAGCGATATCGACGAATTAAAATCATTCGAGTTTCAAAGAAAAGTATTTGACGATCATACTACCGATTTCGAACTATGGATTTTTGTCGACGCCAATAAAGACGCTATAGGTGCTGCGTGTTATTTGTCGGACGGAAATCAGATAAGTCTTATTTATGCCAAATCCAAATTAATCAAACCTAGAAAAATAGTAAGCGGAGAACTGTTGGCATTGGCAATGGGTGCAAACATCAGTCAAACGTTATCAGAAATATTGCATCCAAAACAGACGATATTATGGTCAGATTCTATGGACAACGTCAAACGACTGGAGGATGACATCAACAAATACACGTATCCAGTGGCAGTTCACCTGTTCAATATAAAATCAAAGATAGCGATTGTCCGACATGTAAGTGGAAAGAAAAATCCAGCGGATGCATTCACGCGTGGAGTACCCACACGTGAATTATATAAATTACACCGTTTAAAAGTAAACGAAATCGTTGATGAACAACCGGCATCGATAATGATACAAGTAACAAAAAATGTCAGCAAAGAAAAACAATTTGATGTCTCGAAATTGGATCTAACAACGAAACGGTCGTATCAATCATGGCTTGAATCAGTTAAACAACAACCTGATGAATGGAAACAATCGATCGACAGCAACAACGACGAATTAACGATATTGATCAAAGTAAATCAACAACAATTTATAGACGAACAATTCAAAAAGAAGCAGCCAGTATTCTGTGACGAAAATGGTTTAACAAGATGCTTAACCAGATTAGAACATGCAGAACTAGCATATGATGAAAAATACCCAATCGTCTTACCAACATGCGAGTTCACTAAGGCATTTTTAGAGAATTTACATCACAATGATGAACACAGCTCAGTAGCATACACATTAGCCAATCTTCGATCGAAATATTTCGTCCCACGCGCCAGACAATTATTGACAAAGATAAAAAAACGATGTACAAAATGTCGACAAATGAATACTAAACCGTTAAAGGTGTTCATGGGAAATCCACCAGTGGAAAGACTGGCACGTAGTGATCCATTTGAAAATATTGGCGTAGATGCATTTGAACTNAAACGTTATCAGAAATATTGCATCCAAAACGGACGATATTATGGTCAGATTCTATGGACAACGTCAAACGACTGGAGGATGACATCAACAAATACACGTATCCAGTGGCAGTTCACCTGTTCAATATAAAATCAAAGATAGCGATTGTTCGACATGTAAGTGGAAAGAAAAATCCAGCTGATGCATTCACGCGTGGAGTACCCACACGTGAATTATATAAATTACATCGTTTAAAAGTAAACGAAATCGTTGATGAACTACCGATATCGATCATGATGCAGGTAGCGAACAATGTCAACAAGGAACAACGATTTGATGTCTCAAAATTTGATTTATCAACAAAACGGTCGTATCAATCATGGTTAGAATTAGTTGAACAACAACCAGACGAATGGAAATTATCGATCGATGACAACAACGACGAATTAACAATATTGATCAAACTGATCCAACAGCAATTTATAGACGAGCAATTCAAGAAACAGCAACCGTTGTTCTATGACGAAAAGGGTTTAGCACGGTGTTTGACCAGATTGGAGCATGCGGAGTTAGAATACGACGAAAAATATCCAATTGTATTGCCGACGTGTGAATTCACCAAAGCATTCTTAGAATATCTACATCAAAACGATGAACATAGTTCAGTAGCATATTCATTGGCTAATCTACGATCAAAGTACTTTGTTCCACGTGCACGACAATTATTGACAAAGATAAAAAAACGATGTACAAAATGTCGACAAATGAATACTAAACCGTTAAAAGTGTTCATGGGAAATCCACCAGTGGAAAGACTGGCACGTAGTGATCCATTTGAAAATATTGGCGTAGATGCATTTGAACTAAAGACAACACCGAAAACTACCGGATTGATTTTTACCTGTTGTGTGACCAGAGCAGTACATTTCGAAGTACTCGAGAAAATCACGTCCGAAGGAATATGCGACGCATTCATGATCTTTGCAGCATTACATCGAACGCCGACAATTGTGTATTCTGATCAAGGAACAAATCTAAAACGTTTTGGAAAGATGCTAAACGAGGCTTTCAAACTACTGAAAACGGAATTCCAATGGCGATTTAATACACCTGCAGCACCTTTTCGCGGTGGGTTTTATGAAGCATTAATCAAATCCATGAAACGCGGGTTCCGTAGCATTGTATGGCAGAAGGAACCAAAAGCAAGTGACATGCGATTAGTATTGTATCGGATACAATCAATGATGAATAGTCGACCACTTATGCAGACTGAATCACATATATTGACGCCGAATCATTTGATTTACGGAAATAATAAACGTTCTCCAATGATACCTCCAAGAAGAGGAATGGCGGATTGCTCATTGGTCAAGTATTGGCGACGGACCGAAAGAATGATAAATTCAGCATGGAAAACTTATCGAGATGTCTATCTAAAGGAATTGCGACTATATCACCAAAATAATAAACATTACGAATACGTGAATGTGGGCGATCAAGTATTATTAGTCGACGAAAATACACCAATTGGTTCCTGGCGTGCTGGTCGAGTAATAGAACGAATCCCAAATAAAGATGGCGTTTACCGGACGTACAAAATCCAAGTTGATGGTCGAGTGATTGAACGGCCGGCGCAGAAGATCGCGCTTCTCGAAGAAGAGGGGAGGAATGTTGCCGATACAATGAACCTGACTAACTAAACTGGTATCGACATCTACAGGACGTTTGATGATCGTCAGCTGATGTGTGATGATTATAAAAGGCAGGATCGAAAAAACATAGTGTTGTTGTTCTGCCGCTTGTTTTATGTGAATCATCTTGTATTATTTTTATTATGTTTGATTTTCATAATTTATCTCAATAAATAAACTATTTCATATTGTTCAATGAGTGTTCGTACCACCAACATTGGTTGAAGATTTATTTCACAAATCATTTTCAGATGTATCCATGATTAACGATGATTCGAAATCAGACAACCGACAATAATAATCGGATATTATTCGTATATGTGGTTTTTTTTAAACAAGGATGAAATGTTCGATTCATCACTTTTTTTTTTNAAAAAAAAAAAAAAAAAAAATTCGAAGTTAAATCCGATCAATCAGATGCTATTTCATAAATGTGGGGGGATGAAGGTTGGCAACCATCATTTGCTGTTTTTACGATGATGATATCGATTTTTTTTAATAAAAAGTGTTGAACAATTAACACTGATGATTTGAATATCATCATCTTCATCAACCACAGCGTTGCATTAGTGAAGAAGTGTATACGAAATTGTTTAACAATCTATGAGCATTCGGTTGAAAAAAAAAAAATTAATCATCATAAAGTTGTCACTCACACGAAATATTAGCAATGACAACTTATTTCATAAATGATAATACAACCACAACAACAACTGATCCATATTTGCAAATTGAAACAGTAATATTTTGAAAATGTCTAAACGTGATTTACTATACTTAATCATTGAAATTGATGAACAACATTAAGATGATATCAATTTTATCAAAAGGGAGTGAACAATAAGCATTATCCAAATGTTTAACATTTAAAGTTTTTCACAAAAAACCCCAGTACATTCAGATCAGAACGTGGTTTATCTTTCGTTGCTGTGTTCAAAACTGTTAACATTATATTGTGTATGTTCAACAACAACAACGTTCAAAAATGGATATGCATCTAACATCAGATGATCACCAATTGCTGCCAATGATGAACAAGATTGGAAATAACAATTATGAATAATAATAACAAGGACAATGAATAATCACTTGAGTCTACTCACTATATTGCAATTATGGCAACCAAAACAACAACAAAGAAAATTTGCAACAAGAATTGGATTCATCCCAACCACCCATAGTCGTTGAACAACAAATAATTAGTTGACAAAACATATCAGATTCAAAAAAAAAAACAATTAAAACAACAAACTGTCGTCATTCATTCTGTCGTCGTTTATAATGTTGATCAACAACAACCATAACAAGTGATTCAATCTTGACAGTTAGACACCAACTACAATTGATCAATGTAGATTATGATAATAATGATTATAATATCATTCGCACCCAAAACACCAATCACTGTACGATCAATTATATTATCTAAATCCAAATAAAGATGAATATTTATCAGGATCATCACCGAATGCATTTTTCTTAAAGAAAAAAAAAAATGGTCAACAAATCAAATTATTCGAAAAAGATTTTCAAATTTTCAAAATGATTCGAATATAATTCCACCATTAACATCAACGAAACAAAGGAAAAATGAAATATGGCAATAAAATGATTTCAACCGATAAAAAAAATGATGTTGGCTAAACTGTCGTTATCAAGTTCAACCACAACATTAATCACAAAAATCCACAAAAATCTACCGGAAAAAAATGATTCAACAAACTCATCATCAACAACAATTTGAATTTTAAAAATGTGGTGTATCCTAAAATTATAATCCAAAGTTAATTGTACCAACCACAATTATGTTGTGTTTTTTCTTTATAAAATGGAAAAGTAATATCCCTCTTCCAGATAATATGGCCATTACAACAAAATTATTTGCTGTACATAACAAATATTTGAATGAAATATTCCAAACATAATTCCGGTGAAATTATTGCTTTGTTTCCGGTAGCTATGTGGTTAACTGAATCGATTAAAATTAAATCAGTATACATTGTTGAAAGAACTGTTTGACCAATGAAGAGCAGCTTAATCATTACAAGTGCTTCAAACATTATCAATGTAAATACACACTTTGAATGTGTTTATGGTGAATATAATAGAACACAAATGTTGTTCATCATTAAATTTATCACCGATTATTGCAAGTTTATCAATTCGACAATTCAAAAAAAATAATAATTATCATTGATTGACACAAAAACCTGATCAACAATGATAACAATTACAACATCAATTAAATGAATCATTGAAAAAAAAAAATCGTATTCAGAAGCATGCAACCAAAACATGAATTCAATGATCAAACCTATTATACTTTACGTATTGTCGAATTATCAAAATATTCAAATTTGTCCATTCACTTTTACCATTGTCAATAACATTGATACATAACAAAAATTGATGAACATGAGCTTGGTATCTGTTTGGTCGCATTTGCAATATTTGTATATCGTAATCAAACGCGTGCACCAACTTTACCACAGAATAATAAAAAAATTAACGCATCAATGTGCATTACATAATACGGGCAGTATAACCTGGAAAAATCCATTTATTGCAAATTACATCAGTAAATATTCGAATGGAATATCTTGTTAAAAAAAAAAAATTTCCCGATTAAATCATAAAAAAAAGAAAAAAAAGAATCGTTTGAAGCTTTAACCGATGATAATCAGCTTCCACAAACAAGTTGCGCGAATATTATCAAATATGACACATACTTTTTTTTTGAATGTTTTTTTTTATGATGATCTTATTGTGACACTATTGTTCATTATCAATAATTATTTCAAGCCGCTTTGATGCTATTGTAACTTATTATCATTTTGGATGGTTGATATTGCACCCAATATTCAAGTTCCATAAAGTTTATCAATTGACAATTGTTTAAACTCCCGATATTGTCGCGCATTGATTATTCGCCCCAGAAATCTAATCATAAATTTTTTGGTATTCAATACAAATCAGCAAAAAAAGTCGTAGACGTTTCTCAAGAATTATCAATGCCATATAATCATTATAAAAAAAACTGAAGAACTATTTCTCATTTTTTTTTTCTAACGGGGCAAGAAACACCTGAAAATATCTAAAGAACTATTTTCTTCTCTAACGGGGCAAGAAGTACCTGAAAATAATTCGAAAAAAAAATGAAGAACCAAATTGAAGAACAAATTGTCAAAAATTTTGAAACAACAATTTAAAAATGAATTTAATTCAATTCACCATCAATATGGCAACAAAAACAAATTGTTTTGCAACTCAAAAAAAAAACTGCAATCTGTTAAGTGAAAAAAATTGTTCAACATTCATAACAAAAACACA